TATATATATATATATATATATATATATATATATATATATATATATATATATATATATATATATCAAGAGCTAATAAATATTATTATAAGTATATTATAGGTATTTATTAGCTCTTGATATAATACAGATGGCGGGCGATGATGGCGGTCCGTGACTGTAAGTAGCGGATCATCTACTCAGGGCGCTCCTCATCTTCGTATACGAACTGTCGAGAAATTGCCTATCGCGAAGGGGATATTTCGTGATGAGACGCTATTTGGGGGGTTTCCGTCGACGAAATGTAAGCGCAGTGTGGTTATGATTAGTGTCATGATTATCGTCATGGTTAAGGGTTATGGTTATGATACCGGTTCGGCAAAGTCTTGGGATTAGGGCTGGGCTTATCGTATGATAAGATTGATAGTTTTGGTTGGGTTCAGTGATGGGTGGGATTGCGAGCTTTACCCACGCAGCAAGATCTCGTGTGTATCATGGCGATCATTGGTAACGTTACATTCAGTTGATGCGCGTGCTGTCTTGTGGGTGCGAATAGGTAGCTAGCGCTTCCCCAAAAACCATGGCGTTTGGAAATGGCACTCATTCCCCTTAAAACGTTTGTTATAATATGTTATATTATATGTGTGTGTGTGTGTGTGTGTGTGTGTGTGTGTGTGTGTGTGTGTGTACGTACGTGTGTGTGTGGGGGTGTATGTGTGTGTGTACGTACGTGTGTGTGTGTGTGTGTGTGTGTGTGTGTGTGTGTGTGTGTGTGTGTGTGTGTGTGTGTGTGTACGTACGTACGTGTGTGTGGGGGGGAGGTGTATGTGTGTGTGTATGGGTGTGTGTGCACGTGTGTGTGTGTGTGTCTGTGTATGTATGTGTGTGTGTGTGTGTGTGTGTGTGTGTGTGTGTGTGTGCGTGTGTGTATGTGTGTCTGTGTGTGTAGGTGGGTGCGTGCGCACAGGCACTTGAAACGTCTTAATAAAAAAGGTAAATAAACACGAAATGTATTTACTACCAAAGTCTTAATGTTTCCCTACTCTATTTCGCCTATAATCACCTCTAAATGCCGGGCAAATGCTCATCTGCAACACACAAGTACACCGTTTGCTACAAACGTTTGCTCAACGTTATTAAAACGTTCATAATAAGGTTATATTTAAGTTATTGAATAACGTTTGCTAAAATCGTTTTATTAACGTTTAATAAACGTTGATAGTAACGTTACATGTCGGTGCTTATCAAACGTTTGCCAAAAACTTTTTATAAACCACTGCGTAACATTTACAATAAGGTTGTCAAATGGTTCCCTAAAAACGTTGAAAACCAACGTTTATTTTACTGTTTGCATTACCAAGCCTATGTTTAGGGTCCTTACAAACGATTTACCATAACTAAATTTTATTCACATTCACGCGGGCGCGCACACATACGTAAGCATGCACATCCGTGCACACGCACGCACACCCACACGGCCACACCCATACGGCCACACCCACCTACACCCATCTACAGGCACACACACGCGCACACACGCGACAATACACCAAACGACACACACGCACGCATTGCACTGCCACAACACAGCACCGCGCGCGCGCACACACACCACACGCGCGCGCGCGCGCAAATGTATTTATGTTGTATAGTGAACCACCTACAGCACATACAGACTTCGTATCGCCCTGCGCACGTACGTTGATCGCGATAGGAA